TGGGATTGAACTCTGGAACTGTCCCATTTATTGGGAATTAGTAGAACGCATATGCCTGGTGGAATTACATATAGCAAATACTATCTTCTGCAGCTTGTGTTTTGCTAGCAATTTCAGAAAACTTTTTATGAGTATAATAAAGGAATTAAAAGAAGATAGAAATCATATGTACATTAAACCAAAGAAGAAAACTTAGTGGGGTAAAACCAAAGTACTAATGGGATGCTGGAAAGAAGAGGGTGGGTTAGTCTGATGGAAAACAGAAAAATTCCTAAAGGGTGTAAGTTTTAGTATGGATATAGGAAGGTGTTGGCATATTCTTGTCTCCTGTCTTTTTATGCTACTCTGTTGATAAACAAAGACTTAAAAAAAAAAGTGTCCCTTTTCCAACTTTACTAGTGAGAAATAAGAATCTAACAAAATTGTAGATGTCTTAAGGTTTTTTTGTTTTTTAATCTGCTGTTATCTTTCCCGTTACTCATTACTGGCAGGATATGTCCAATTAAAATATCTTTTTGTTTTGTAGCTACAGATTTGTGAAAAATCTAGCATTTCTCCATTGAATAATAATATTGCATGTCCCTTTCTTTCTCCTACCCCACTTCAAGAAACACTGGATACTTTGGAAAAGTGGGTTACTGAAATCTTCTCCCAGATACCAAACAAGTAAGATATTTATTTTCTATAAATCATTTACTTCTACAGTTAAATAGCATATCCTTTTGTATTGAGTTCCAGAGGCTTTTTCTTTTGTGTTGTTTTCTATTTTAAAAAGTCGTAAAATTAAAACCTATGGAGGCTTAATAACTTTGGCAAGGTCATACAGCTTTTGGATGAGAAAACTAAGAGCCCATTTTCATGGTTTCTGTGGTTCAATTTATAGGTTTACAAACTTATAGTAAACAATAATACCTATAATAAGTAAACATGCCTTTTGCATTCAGTTGGAGCTTTTCTGTTACTGTGTAACATGTTTGAAAGTGTGATATGAAAGAAAATACTGTATTGAGAAGTAGAATATGTATACTTGTGTCCCCTGCCTCATAACAAATTGCGTTCTGAAAGTCTAAGACAGATGTTTGGAATATAGAATGTTCTTCCCCATAAAGGAAATAATCTTGTAGATTGGCTGATTTTCCATATGCCTAAAACACCAATGTCATATAGTTGAACCAAAGTGATCTTTTATTAGAAATTGTATATAGGGTTCCTATATACAATACTTAGCATTTTTTGTTCGCTTCAAATTCACGAAAATAAAATATATAATGATACTTGCTATTATATTTTTGTTCCAAAGCATACAAAAATTTAATTCTAGAGCAACTAAGTCTTTATTTCCATTCCTATTGCATTTTAGTAAAATAACTGAAATCAGATTTTTTTTTATTACATCAGGTGAATAAACTAGTAGCTTCTTTTAGTTCATCATTCTTAGACATTATTTTATACATTTGAAAGAAAAATTAGCTTAAAACATTGAATAATTTGTAATAACAACTGATGGGTTATTATTATCTAGGCTTTATGTAAATTTCCATTGAAAATTAGCAGTACTTTTATGCATGACAAGATAATGAAAGCCATGCCAAATTTGTGGGCTTTAAAATTAAAAAAAAAAAAAAACCCAAAAACTTCTGATAAGAAAGGAGTGTAAGTTAGGAATTGTGAAATGACAAATGGGAACGTCTTTTGCTGTGAAACTTTAATAAAAATCAGAGATGTATTGAATAGAGGGATGCATTAAGTTCTGTCAGTCTGATGAACATTAAAAATTCTCTTAATAATATTCACTAATAACACTGGTCCCTTAATGAGACAATAAAATGTATTTGAGATGATACTAATTTGTATTGACTGTGTTTTTGCAAAAGATAATGAAGTTTTAATATCTTCAACCTGATTGAAAGTCTTTAAAATACCACACTGCCTACTACAGTCTTTATACCTAACTACTACATATATATTTGTTTAAAAAATACTCTTGTAAACTTTTCTTACTGAAAGGGCTTTTTATAGAACTAAAATTGAATGAGACTGATAGATGCAGTAAATATTGGTAAAGGATCCCTTCAATTCATTGTTTTCTGTTCTTGTAGGTTATAAAGATGTGTTAGTTACTGATGCTGAGGTTAAGAATAGGGTTTGTAGACGCTGCGGAGTGGCTCAAGTAGTAGATACCTGGCAAGCAAGTGCAAGGCTTTGAGATCAAACCCCAGGAGCACAAAAAAGAAAGAAAGGGGGAGGGGGGTTGTGTGTATGTAGTCAGGACTTTGTGGCTTTGTTGCCATTTACTTGCTTGTACCTAAAATGCTTTTCAGCCAGCAGTACATAAAATAGATTTTAAGAATCAGCTACCCATCCCTAATTATACTGCTTATAAAGACTTTTGCCAATTACATTTTAATCTGTTTGTTTTATTTTCAGTGGGTTATCCAAACCAAACTTTGCCATTTAACGGATCCATTCGACACACCAGCATTTAACAAACTTTATAGAGGTTTGTGAACCTAAGGTTTAAAATTAAGTGAAATAACTAGCACATTCTCCAAAACTTAAAAGTACAAATACAACTATGTTGGAAAAGAAGTAAATGAACATGGAGATGAACACTGCCATCAGTAGTGACTGATAGCAGGCCACAGACTAGCTGCAGATTGATATAGTTCTTGGTACCCTCCTGCTACTTGAGTCTTGTTTCATGTTTTTCCCTCATTTACCCTTATTTGTTCATTTAAAAAAAAAAGATTTCCTAGTTTGTTTTGTCCATATTCTACTTTCCTTTGCCTTTAAAGAAGAAAAAATAAAGAGAAAACACTTTGGAAATTATTTTCTTTTAACTTCATTAGACAAACAATATTTGTTAAATGCAAAGTACCTTAAAGTGTCAGGAAATTAGGGAAAGATCATCCTTAAATCCTATTGAGTGATGACATTTTTGGCAAGTTTCCATCTGATTTTTTTATAGATATAGTAACCTAAAATACTAAGTTTGTTAAGTATAAATTACATATACTTCTGTCTCCTTCTTTTTAAAAATTTAATATTATATCTGTAGTAAGTATATAACAAGTCATCACATGATTACTATAATGTAATTTGCTTAACAATTTGCCTATAGATTCTTAATTCACCATTTTTCTGTCTTTGCTCTTTTTATCATGGTAGACTTTTTTCTCTTCTAATTGCTTTAGGTCTTCTTTCCTCCTTCATCCCATTGCCTTCTCGTCTTCTTTTCTGATTAATGACTTGTTTCAGCACAGCCTTTCTGCTTCTGACTCCATTCTGTTAAGCTAACTCTTCTTTTTGGCTTTATATTTCCTACTCATAAATCATAGAATAATATAGTACTGAGAAGAATCTTGGAGATACTTTCCCTAAAACATTCAATTTACCACAAGAAAACAGATTCATTAAGATTTAAATGCAAGTGGCTTTCTCAAGGTCATGTAAGCATATATACCAAGAAAAGTGGTAGAGCTGGAGTTTTTGCCATAGATCTCCTGATTGTAGTCTTGTATCCTATTTTGAAAGAATGGACCCATCCTTAGCAAGATTTCATATTCTCACCATTCTTTATCCCTCTTTCCCTACCTGTGAAACCAAATAGAAAATAAATATACAAAAATTGCATTATTCAAATTGGAAATCTTTGGCAACTTGAAATAAAAACTGTGTATTATCTAATCTTCTCCTGAATGAAATATATTGTATTAAAAATGTTCTTTTAGTATAGTAAAAGTTTTGAAGAAACATTTATATCTGTTCTTCTGGAAAATATTTTCATTTAGTTGTTCCAATCAGAAAGATTCATGCTCTGACCATCACATGGGCACTTCCTCCTCAACAGCAACATTACAGGTAAGAGTTGAAGAGAAAATTTACTTCATTAGATACTATGAAAGAGTCATGCTAAATAGTTTGGGGTTCTGAATTTACAAACACAAGTGTTTGATAACCTGGAACTTAACTACTTCTGAAATTTTCAAATCTGGTTGTGTATTTTATTGTCTTTTCTGGGTATAAAAGCTAGAGTTTTCTTATAAGTACTTTTCCTAAATCCTTGAAATTAAGTATTTACTGTGAATGTTAAGTTTTTTAACTATTTAGTACTTTTAGTAAAAAAATATATTAGTTTATGATTTATTTGGCCTTTATTTTGATTGTGAAAAGGAATAGTCCCAAAGATTTACTTCTATGAGTTTATTAGGCAGCTATTTTAACTTATCTATGATATGAGCAGTACACCTTGGACCAAGCAGTTTTTAAAGATGAGGATCAGTCAGTGACTACAAATGCTTTTTAGTTAGAAGTAAATGCAAAAAAAAAAAAAAGTAAATGCAAATGAACTGATTAAAACTACCAACAAACCAAACCATGAAGACACATAGTAAAGGAAAGAAAATAATGTGTATTGCTTAATAAAAAATGCCTTTTGTCACTTAAAATGTTAGCATATTCAAACAAATTATTAAAATACTGTTTGTGTGCATTTGGTACAAGGATAATATAGGAACATGTAATATATGTTGATTATCTAGGTATGAATTTTTTTTTTTTTTTTTTTTGTGATACTGGGGCTTGAACTCAGGGCCTACACCTTGAGCTACTTCACCAGCCATTTTTTGTGAAGAGTTTTTTTGAGATAGGGTTTTGTGAACTATTTGCTTGGGCTGGCTTCGAACCTCAATCCTCCTGATCTCTGCCTCCTGAGTAGCTAGGATTATAGGCATGAGGCACTGGCACGTGTCTATGAATGATTTAAGAAGTGTTAAAATGTTAAAAAGTTTTTACTGTAACAAATACATATATTTAAGTGTTCCAATAGGATAAAAGGGCATAAAGTAAAAAATAGTTTTGCTTCTGTCTTTATCCTCAAAGATATATCTGAATTAATAGTTAATAGCTTTCCTAATATTTTTCAGGCATTAAAATTTGAATATAAAGCACATATATCTTTTTATGGAAATGGAATTATATGACGTGCTGTTAACCTTACTTATCTTCTTGATTAGTAAGGTAGTGAGTTGTGGAAATTAAGCACTGTTTAACATGACATTTAATCATCAGTCATTTTGAATCCTCAAATAGCTTTTGTGGGGAGCCATTTTTTACAATGAAACAAAGTATTAATCCCTCCAAAAACAGTGTAATTAGCTTTGCTCAGATGCAAATGTATAATCAGCTGGGTTTATTTCATTAAGTGCTTTACTCCTCTGTGCCTGTCTTAGTATACATGTAATTCAATTCACATTTTAATCTATGTTGTGTGGGCTTTGAGTCTCGCTTAACAGAGTTGAAATTGTTGATTTTCAAGAGTTTGTTGATTTTCAAGAGTTTACTAAGTTTTGTTGGGGATGATGGCATGGTAGCATATGCATACTGCTCCAGCTAGTAGAGAGGCTGAGGTGAGAGGACAGTTTGAGGCCAGGAATTTGACATCAGACTGGGCACAATAGTAATATTCCATGTCTATCTAATGTAAGTAGGTAGGTAGGTAGATAGATAAAGTGAGTTCTATAACCTGATAAGATTTTCTAATTATTTTTCTATATATCTTGGCTTTGGTGGAATACATTTGCAAAATTTTAGTACATGTTAATGGGAAAAGAGTTTGAATATATGCCACTACTGAAAGATTATCACTGTATATGATAATAACACCTGTTAGTATGTTTGCATCAGAACTCTGTAAGGTAATTAGGCAAGTGAAGACAGAAAGAAAAATACTGTGAGGTTATGTTTTGTTCAAGGTCCTAATTTATTTGAAGGAAAACTAAAACTAGAACCTAGATTTTCTGGCCTTTACAGCAACACATGTCAATTTACCACAGAATCTGATGCAGTATTGAAAGCTTTTGTTGTAAAGCTTTTGTCCATAGACAGTGAATCATAGCTATATTGGGTTCTAAGATGATAATCTATATTTTTTACATATTCATTGAAGTAAAAATTAAAGATTTTTATCATGAAAAGAATTAAGTTTGGTGTTCAAGAGAGGTAGCAGGATTAATTTCTGGATTTCAGATGAAGCAATTTATCATTTTCTGTATTTATCTTGCTGCTATTAAAGTAATTGCAATTTTATGTTTAGTGGATTTATGAGAATAGGTTTGTAACTAAATTTTCAAGTGTAGTAGTCTGTAGCAGTAAGATTTTCTAATATAAACATTGATTCTTTTGATTTCTGACCTTTACATTTTTTTTTTTAAAGGGTAAAGCCACTTCATTATATCTCCTGGCTGGTTGGACATGAAGGCAAAGGCAGCATTCTTTCTTACCTTAGAAAAAAGCAAGTATTCAGCTATTAAGTATTTTCAGTAACACCTATTAAGTGGTATATAATGCATTCTTTTTCTTTAGCTGCCGAGAGGTATATAATCAAACTTTTAATGTTTAATTATAGACGTATAAATAACCTAGATTATTTTAATGGCTATATTATATTTTTGTATTTCTTCATAAGGTACCTTTTAGCTCATTTTGGAAATAAGTACACAAAATTAAAAAAGCAACAAAACATGGTAATTCCGGAACTAGATAAAAAAGGTGTGCTGTAATCAAGAATTGAGATTTGACTGAATGGTAATGAAGTGGATTTCTAGGCTTTCTCAATACAACAGGGGGACTTTTAGCAAAAACTTCCAATGTACAGATAACTCATACTACAAGTGTGTGGCAGCTGTTAACAGAATGTACATTTAAGCACCTATTTAAATCACCTATAGTTAAATAATAGAAGTGCAACTTTAGAGTCAGGATCAAAACACCTAAAATAATTCCTCATTTGTTTTTTCTATACACTAATTTGTGAATGGGAAGATAGCTAAGAAATTTAAAGAAATGGTATTTAAGACATCAACATCAATGTGTTCTATAACACTCAAAAAAAACCTGAGAGGGTACAGTTACTATAAAAGAATAAACTAATGACATTGAGTGTGTATATACACATTGAGTGTATATGTAATGTGCTTTGAAGGTACAACTTTTGTACCTAACTGAAATTTATTAGAATTTCAAACTTTATTTTGCTGTTCTTCTCTGTTGTTTCAAGTTTTCAGGATTATTTCTCAGAAAAAGATGTAGTCTCATTGTTTCTTTCTGAGATAACCTATGTAGGTTAGCTGACAGTCTGAAAGAACTCATTTGAGATTCTAAGTTGGGATGTATTTGATAGGTTTTAAGGTTTCTTCCAGGAGACAAGATTAAAATGAAAAGCAAACTATATCTCAGCAACCATATTTTAGTATTTTGTGCTGTTGTCTTCAACGAGACTTGCTCTGGTTTCATAAAACTGCTGATGGTTTGCTGTGTTGAAATATCTATTAGTCTAATCTTCTCACTAAACAAGTAACGATGGTATAATTTCCTTCTAGTAACTCCTAAATATACTACAGTTCTTTGAGAGGCTTTGTGTTTTTAAAATTTGTACTTTAAAACTTACTGTTAGAAAGTGTATGTTTACATTAAAAGCTGAGGCTCCCAAATTTTACATACAAAGCCTGTCTAGTTTGTTAATCTGAAGGGTTTATAGAATATCAGTTCAGATTACTGGTTGAATTATTTTTTCCCAACTATAGTGCTGGCTCTTGCACTGTTTGGTGGAAATGGTGAAACAGGATTTGAGCAAAATTCTACTTATTCTGTGTTCAGCATTTCTATTACATTGACTGATGAGGGTTACGAACATTTCTATGAGGTAAGTAACTAAAGTGGAGTTGCTGTTCTTTTTATATAGATGTCACTTTATGCAAAAGACTAATAGATTTTTCTTTTTTCAGGTTGCTCATACTGTCTTTCAGTATTTAAAAATGCTGCAGAAGCTAGGCCCAGAAAAAAGGTAATAAATACTTCTTAGAATGAAGCCAGGAGTCAATCTTAGAGTAGTTTAGAATTCAGGCTAACAATAGACATGCTTTAGTTCTGTAGGATAGTTTTTTCAGGCAATTCCTACTTTATTTCCTTTATTGGTTCCATATCCTCATCCCGCTACATCTGAGTGTACACTAGGATTTTACATTCATTTGGCTAGTTTCTTTGTTTTTATGCTTCTCTCTTTTTTTTTAATTGATGATTCTAGTGAGGAATTTTTACATGTTTTAATTATCATTTTCTTTCACAGAATTTTTGAAGAGATTCAGAAAATTGAGGATAATGAATTTCATTACCAAGAACAGGTATTGGAATTCAAATTCTTTTCCAATGTTTACTGTGACCAAGTTGAAACTGGTGTGGACATTGTTCCTCTTTTTGGACGTGTCACTGGAGTTTTAATTCTGCCACTCTCTGTCATGTGAGTCTCAAGATAGCCTTGAGGCTATCCGAAAATTAACTCTTGTTTTTTGAGTATTGAATAACAGTGATAGGATTAGGCAGATGAAATAGATCATGTGGTGTGACAATCATTTATCTGTGTAATCATCTTTCTTGCCTATTCCCTTTGATAATAAACACTCATAGAGAGCTTGCTAAGGTATATGATAGTTTGGGAATTCAAATGTTGTGAAAGATATTCTACAAAGTAATTGCCCCATGTATAATGTTAGAAACGTTGACCTTTGGAATATCAGGGGACCAAAAGCATTTGCCTTGATTAAAATTGCTTATCAGAGAAGGAAAGTTCATGACTGTGGTAAATTTTAATTGAGTTCACCATCAAAACATAATATTTGGTTACATTTTTGACAGTGGGCGGTCCATAAGTAAAGACCTCTGGGATATTGTGAAAAAGGTAATGATCCTATGTATCTTTAGCAGAAGAATATCTAAAAGGAAGTTATTATATAATGCTGAAAGGTGAAGAGTTTAGAACAGAGCTTTTTTATTAAAAAAACAAACAAACAAACAAACTTAAGCCATTCAACAGTGGCTCGTGCCTGTAATCCTATCTACTTGGGAGATTGAGATCGGGAGGGTCAAGTTTTGAGGCCAGCCCAGATAGATAGCTCAGAAGGCTCCATCTCCAAAATAACCATAGCAAAAAATGGACTGGAGGTGTGGCTCAAGCAGTAGAGCACCTGCTTTGCAAATGTGAAGTCTTGAGTTCAAGCCTCAGTACTGCCAAAACAAAAACAAAAAAATCCCATAGCAACAACAAAAAAAATCTCATTTGTGCTTTGAAAATCTATTGAATCTTGTGGCTCTGCCCTCAGAATCATACTTCATCCTCTTAACTTCTTAAGCTTTTGGAGAAATTGCCTTAGTTGTACAATGATCACTGGTATATCCTTCACCTAGATTCACCAATTGATAGTTTTTCATACTTACTTTCTTCTCTATCTCTCTACACGTACATGTATTTTTACTGAACCATTGGAGAATTACAGATGATACTTTACACTAAATGTTATTTTAGCATGTATTTGCTACAAAGGTATTCTCTTGCATAATCTCCATGTATTTTTCACAGTTCAGAAATTTAAAATGGAAACAATACTGTTTATTAATGTATAGTCCATAGAATAGAATAGTGTTTTTAAATACATAGAATAAAGTACAGTGGTTTACAAAGGAATATTGAAATGAAGTACTCAAAGTAGTAAAAAAAAAAAGCCGAGCGCTGGTGGCTCATGCCTGTAAGGAAACATAGGCCCCAAAGGTGACCACGTGGAGAAGAGTAATCTGGCCAAGAGATTCTTTATTGCTGGGTGGGAGAGGGAGAGAGCAGAGAGCCAAGAGAGAGAGAGAGAGAAGGGCAGGTACTTAAATACCCCTCAGTGAGACTCGGCATGATCTGATTAGTTAGGATCTTAGGGTTCATGCTGATTGGAGGTTGGGGCAGAAGAGATTCAAGCTAGACTTGAGGCAGGACTGTGACCCTGGGAGGCAGGACCGTGACCCTGGAAAACAGAAGCTTAAGGGTGCAGTAAGAACTGAAACCTATTGGCGCCATTATTGCCAACAATGCCTGTAATCCTAGCTAATTGGGAGGCAGAGATCAGGAGGATTGAGTTTCAAAGCCAACCCCGGGCAGATAGTTTGAGAGGCCCTATCTTGAAAAAAGCCATCACAAAAAAGTGCTGGTGGAGTGACTCAAGGTGAAGGCCCTGAGTTCAAACCCCAGCACTGCAAAAAAACCAAAAACCCATATATATATAATTATATATATATATATGTATATATATGGGTTTTATATATATATATATATAATGTTTTACTATATATATATATATATATATAGTAAATATATATATAATGTTTTACTATATATATAAATATATATATATATATATATATAGTAAATATATATATATATATAAATATATATATATATATATATATATATATATATATATAATGTTTTACTGGACTTGGGGTATGGCTTAGTTGTAGAGAGCTTTAAGTGCCCGGAGTTCAATCCCCAGTATATTGGAGAGGGAGGGAGGGAAATGTCTTTATTGCCATCTCCCTATTTATAACTCCTCTTTTGTCATCCCCCGCCCCCACACCAGTCTTTGTTAGTATATACTTGATATTAAAAACATGAGTCCTAACATCTTAGATTAAAACCTAACTAGTACACTATCTGATGTACCAGCTTAAGCAGAAGCTGCTGCCTCCTTTGGCCATCTAGTTGATGGGAGTTTATCTTTCTGTGATTTCATCTCAGGTTTGCTTATGGCAGAAATGAGACTTTGAATGGACCAGGCTGACTTTAAGAGTGAGGAAAGGATGGTCAGGAGCCCTGGGTGCCAGTGTGCTCTTCAGTCTGATCTTCCTTATGCTTGGTTCAGTGACCTGCAACAGATGCTTCTTCAGTTATGTAGCTGGAGTTAAGGCCTCTTGGGAGAAATCAGCTGTTTCTGGCTGAGTGTCTCACAGGCTTCCATGTACTTGGCCTCAGGATTACGCAGAGTTCTAAAGGCTATGTTCATGTCTTTGAAGATTTAAGGATTCAATTTCTAATTCTATATCCAAGAGAGAAAATAATCCTTTAAGTATTTGGCCTTGGATATTAAAAAAAAAAAAAAACCTAACTAGTGCAAAATTAGAGCAAATTAGGAAAAGCCTATTTCTGAACTGCTAAATTAATCCAAAAGATCAGAGTATTTCTGTTTTTTAGGTGTATACATTTCTATTTTAAACAATATTGGGATGGTTCCTCTTTAGACTTCTTCCTAGCCTTAATAAAGGCAAATAGAAATTCTTTGTTTATTTTTCTTTTTTCGGCATGCAGGGCACAGGGCCTTGCTCTTGCTAAGCAAGTGCTCTGCCACTTGACCCACATACTCCCCAGTCCTTTTGCTTTTAGCTTGTATTTTTTTTAGATAAGGTCTCATGCTTTTGGCCAGGGTTGGCCTTGGACCAACCTCTCTGTCTCAAGTAGCTGGAATTATAAGTATATACCACTACACCTGACCCCTCTTTTAAATTTTTTAAAGAAACTTGGACCCAGTATGACTCATAAATCAACTGTTTGAACTAATGTATGATGCAAATGCTATTTTGTTTTATTGAGCACTTTTCTATAGGCAGAAAAACAGGACCAAAATGGAATGCAGTGAGAGTTTATAGAACCAAAAAAAAAAGGATAGACATTAACAAGTATTAGAGAGGATGTGAAGAAATTAGAGTCCTTATACATTGCTTGTGGGAATGGTAAATGCTATCGCTGCTTTGGAAAACCATTTGGCAGTTACTTGAAAAGCAGTTACTATATGAATCAGTATACATACATCTAAGAGAATTGAAAGTATGTGTTCCTAAAATCTCATGCATAAATGTTCATAGCATTATTCATTATAATGAAAAAGTAGACTCAACTCTTCCTAAAGTGATGAATGGATAAATAAAATGTAGGTTATGCATGTTACGGAATACTATTCAGCCATAAAAGAGAATGATTTGTGCTATAACCTTGAAAACATACCAAATGAAAGAAACCATACACCAAAGGTCACATGTTATATGAGTCCATTTATATGAAATATTTAGAATAAGCAAATTCATAGGCATAGAATATTGATTTTGTTTGTTTGGTTTTGGTGGTAGTGGGGTTTGAACTCAGAGCCTTATGCCTGCTAGGCAGGTATACTACCACTGAGCCATGCCCCCAGCCCTAAATGTTTGGTTTTATGAGTTTTGTTTTTTTTTTTTTTTTTTTGATGCTAGGAATGAAATCCAGAGCCTTCTGCATATTTGGCAAGCACTCTACTACTGTGCTATACCTTCAGCACACTTCAGGAATTTTTCCCCCAATACCTAGTCTATTGCTGTAGCATCACAGATCTGCTTTTTGCTAGAGTCCTTGTTGTTTTCTTATAGGAAGTACTTTGAATCACTCAGTTTTACATCATATTGATTAGAGCAGCTACATTTTTAATAAGTAACTGGTAAAAATAACTGGTTAAAAAATTAGAGGCTGAGTGTGGTGGTACACACTTGTAATTCCAGCACTTGGGAGTCAGAGGCAGGAGGATTGTGAATTCCAGGCCAGCCTGGGCTACATAGAGAATTAAAGGCCAACCTTGGTTGTATAGTGAGACCTGTCTCAAAAAAAAAAAAAAATTAGAACAGAACAAGCCATTGTAGATAATACTTTACTGACTTATTAATGATGTAGTAATGTTTCCTGAACTGGAGGAAAATTTAAAAAAAGAAAAAGCAAAAACAAAAAACCTACCAGTGCGTCTTTCCTCATTGTTTTGTGTGACCAGGATTTGAGCTCAGGGCTTCAAGCTTGCAAAGCATGCCCTCTACTGCTTGAGCCACACTTTCAGACCATGTTGCTCTGGTTATTTTAGAGATGGAGTCTCGTGAACTCTTTGTCTGCGCTGACCTTGAACCTCGATCCTTCTGATCTCAGACTCCCAAGTAGCTAGGATTACAGGCGTGATCCACCAGCACTCAGCTTGTAATTCCATTTCTATATGAATGTGTGTAGTACACAACCTTTAGTTATGGTCTCTGTGAGTGTCCTTTTCTCCCCAGAGTTCCAGTGTCTGCTCTGTTTATCATTCACTGTTTGGCCTTGGGCACAATCTGTTTCCTCATTACAAAATGTGGGAATGGAATGACTTGGTATCTGAAGGGCCTATCAGTCTTGAGGTTCTGTGTACCTGGGTGCTCAGTAAATTGCTTTCTTCTAGATAATTATTCTTATTTCATAGGATAGAGAACTAACCATTTTTTCAATTTTAAATGAAGATAACATACTAATTAATATAACTTCTTTTTTAAAATCTTTAAGATTTTAATTGACATAATAATTGTTCATAAACATGGGCACAATAATATTTTAATACTTGTGGACAATGTGTCATGATCAGATCAGAATAATTGGCATATCTGTAACCTCAAACATACATCATTTGTGTTGGGAACATTCAAAATCCTCTATTCTGGCTATTTGAAACAGTCAACAAATGGTTGTTAACCATAATTATCCTACTGTTCTGAAGAGCATCAGAAGTTATTCTCCTATCCTATGATCCCCCTGTGTCTTTTAACCATCCTTGTCCCAGTCCCCCTGTCTTCTATACTTCCCAGCCTTTGAAAACACTATTCTCTACTTCTTAATACTTTTATCTAATGGCACTCACATTTTAATTTAATTCAGGTTTACAAATGGTAAACCTGATGATAGTGCTTTAGTGACCTCACAGTCATGTGATGCACCTAACAAGTAAACATTTACACATCAATGTGATGACTACTCTCATGAAGAGACTGTGACTTGAGTGGAACCTAGTGGGTTATTGGGCTCAGGATAGGAGTTGGAGGGGTTTGTGATTAAGCCCTTAAAGGCAGTAACTCCAAGTATATGTTCTTAGAATTCTGAGCATCAGATTCTTAAGCTGCAGTTGCATCTAATTCCATCTGTTCAGAAGCTTTTGGTTTCGTTGTTGGAAAAAGAGAGAAAATATGTATATGTTGTAACAAATTAAGGATAACAATGGAGAGGTTCTGTTGTGAAACAATTTTACTTCTTTACAGACAGATCCAGTTGAGTATGTGGAAAACATGTGTGAAAACATGCAACTGTACCCACTGCAGGACTTTCTTACTGGAGACCAGCTCCTTTTTGAATATAAACCAGAAGTAAGAAGATTTCCACTTTTAAAACTTCCTTTTAGAGAAAGGAGGGTGAAAAGTCCACAGATGTACTGTGAGAATGGAGAAAGCTTGATTATATTAGGCAGGATATTTGTTTAAACAGAAGAAATATCAATAGTTTTATGGCTAATTCTCCTGATTCTTTTTTAATATAAAAGGAGAAAATCAACTCATACTATTTTTACAGTTTCTTGTGTGTTGAAAATGTTAAGGCAGTTTCTAAGAATTATGTGGCTTAATTCCTAAGCATACTTAGATTTCTTTAGCTTACCTTTTAATTTGGTTGGAAACTCTGGACAATTTTTAATCATTTGAAAATATTTGTGAGAAAAAAATGTAGGATTCCCTAAATTTGAAGCATATAACTTACAGAAAATATCATATACAAATATATAGTCAGGGTCATTCTTCCATTACTGGGGAATAAGTCACCTTGCTTCATATAGAGTAGCATTTGTCAACCCCAGGAGATGGTTTGCTTTCTAGGGGATATACTAGTATCTGAAGACATTTTGGTTGTAACAGCTAAGAGATAGGCTGTGGATTGCTCCTGGGATCTGGTGGGTAGAAGCCTGACGTGCTGCTAACCATCTTACAGTATAGAAGATAGTACCCTCCAAGAAAGAATTCTCTGGCATAAGATGTTACTAGTCTTCAGATTGAGAAACTTTGGTAAAGGGCATTTATTCCCAAACTACTAATTTTAAAGAAGATAGGGAAAGGTAAAGGAGGAAGTAAAAAACTACACATTCTTGCCATCTCTCTAGAGTGGTTATGTTCAGGGACCTATGTGTTTTTTTCTAAACCACCATTTTGATTTTTTTTTTTTCCCTCAAAGAAATGGTGTTTAAATGGTAGAATTCCAAACCAACCTGCATAATCCTGTTTAGTCCTTAATAATAATAATAATAATCCTGAAGGATTATTGAAGGATGTCTATATTAGCATCATCTTACTGATTTCTTGGGTCTGAGATGGTATAAAACATAATCTTTTAAGAGCATATTCTTTGGAATCATTATAAATTTGGTTGGAACTCTATTTTTACCACTTTTAGCTGTGTGTTCTATGTTAATTATATACCCTTTAACCTGAGCATTACTTAGTCTTTTACCTCTAAAACCAAGTATTGCTTTCTGTAAAATAGATATACTTTGCAACTGTTTTTAGGATTGAATGAAATAGCATATGCTAACTGCTCCTTAGCACATAGTAAAAGCTTAGTAAATGATATTTTTATGGCTAGTGCTGTTAGTAAATGGGATTTGAGATAAGCACTGCTTTTTAAAGCCTTATCAAGAAGCATATTTAATATTTGTCAATTACATACCTCAATAAAACTAAAAAAGTTTTGAAACACTAATAAACTAATGGGGCTTTGTGAATTAGGGATTTATAGACTGTAGATAGTTTATTGAGTATCAAGATGCTAGGATCTGCAAGGTATCTAACAGTGTGGCTTTATCTTTTTAATGGAAATGTATTAGGTTAAAATTGTTACTGTGTGTGTGTCTCCCTTCCTTTATTCCCCCCACTCCCTCTTTATTAGGTCATTGCTGAAGCCCTTAATCAGCTAGTTCCTCAAAAAGCAAATCTTGTTCTACTGTCTGGTGCTAATGAGGGAAAATGTGACCTCAAGGAGAAGTGGTTTGGGACTCAGTATAGCATAGAAGGTAAAATGTTTTAGCAGTTGTTCTTTATTTAAGTATATCTGACTCAACCTGGGAATTCTATTTTTAATAACTTATCTGATGGTTCTTATAGGAAGAAAAGTGTAATTTTTTAAAAGTTCATTTTCAGTTGAAAATTACTTATTGCAAGACATTGTTTTTCTCCTATGTTTATACTATTAGTTAGTGAAAAAATTCTGTTGTTTTGGTATTTAGTTATAGGCACATGCCTATAACCCCAGTACTTAGGAAGCAGAGGCAGAAGGATTAAGAGTTCAAGACCATCCTAGGCTATACAGCAAGACCCTATGAAAAATATCAAAAAACAAAAGCAAAACAGATTTTGATTCAGTGGGTCTATGTGGGGCTTGAGATTCAGCTTTTTTTTTTTTTTTGGTGATACTGGGGCATGAATTCAGGGCCTTGTGCTTGCTAAGCTACACTCCCAGCTCAAGATCCTGCCTTTCTCACAGTATCCCAGGTGACACTGGTGCTGTTGAACCACACTTTGTATAGTGAGATTCCAGATTGCCTGGATACATCAGAAACTGTTTACCTGAAAAGGAGAATTTGTGAAAGCCAGTGGATGGTTTGTCGTTTAGAGAATTCTGAACATTGCATTGCTTGTTGTGTCAATTTGTTTTTCTTCTTTATAGATGTTGAAAACATTTGGGCTGAATCATGGAAGAGTAATTTCAAATTAAATCCAGATCTTCATCTTCCAGCTGAAAACAAGTATATAGGTCAGTAAAATAGAAATCATTATACATCATCTATCCATGTACTAATAAAATGAGCCTGTATAGTACATTGTGTTTTACAAATTACCTACCATATGTATTCATATTTTAGAATCCCAGCAGTATTCTGGGGTAGCCATTACTATTTTCTTACTTTTCCAAAAGAAAACACAAATTCTAAAAAGCAAAGTGACTTGTCCAAGAGTATTTAGTTGGTGAATGGAAAAACCAAGACTTAAACATAGATCTTAGTACTTTGAAGTTTTTGATTTTTCTTGTACATCATAGTCAATTCTTTCATAGGAAGAAGTTGTCATTATCTTTTGAGATAATGGTTTTTCAGACTGCGAGTTGTCACCCATTAGAAAGTTGTGAAGTCAATGTAATGTGTTGTGAGCTGTGAAGGCATTAAAAAATCAGTTAGAATGAAAAACAACAAATGTTCCATTGCATATAGAAAAGGTGTTTTTCAAAAACTTGTTCTAGATAAGTATGTGTATATCTGTTTACTAGTTTGCTTTTAGCAAATATATTTCTGTTAACAGTAAACAAATTTAAGGGCTGGAGGAGTGGCTCAAGAGTTAGAATGCCTGTCTAGCAACTGCAAGGCCCTGAGTTCAAACTCCAGCACCATCTACCCTTCACCCTGCCCCCCCAAAAAATTGAAAGCTAGGTCAAAGGTTTTACAGTTGTTTGTAACTGTAATTTACTGAGAACACAGTGTTTCTCTTTAATTCCACTCATACATACATATCTAAAACAATTGGAAAAAGGCACTCAAGTACATGGGCTTACATGTTCATAGCAGCACTGTGCATAGCCAAAAGATAAATAGAGAAAATTGTGGTATATACATACTTTGAATATTATTCAGTCATAAAATATTTTAAAGTGGATGAACCTTTAAAATACCATGCCATGATATGAGTCCATTTATATGAAATATCCAAAATAAGTAAATCTATACAGACAGAACACAGGTTGATGGTTCCTCAGGGATTGAGGGGAGTAGATGGGTAATGGGGAGCAGCTCCCTTAGTAGGTATGTAGTTTCCTTTTGTGGTGATAAAAATGATTTGAAAATAGATAAAAGTGATTGTTGTACCACATTGTGAGTGTATTGATGCCCCTGAATTAGTCACTTTTTAGCGGTTAATTTTAAATCGTGATTCTCATCTCAATTAGAAGAAAAAAGCTTTTTTTTTAATTAAAGAAAGTCTTCTGCATTTTGGATTGTTCAGTTTTACATATTCAACTTTAAATGTTCTCCCAACTTAGATGTTTTTAATAAGTATAGCAACTACTACTTTAATTTGCAGTTTTCTTTAAATTAGCTATTTCTCAGCTACATGTTGATAAAACAATTTGTTTTCATTGCTGAAATAACAAGTTTGGCTTTGTTTGAGTAGAACTATGTATTAACCCTTCAAATGTCCATAGGGTTCATAAAAGAAATTCTCATTCAAGAAATTCATTCATAAATTGAATTGTATAAAAATCCATCTCAAAGTTAAAATTGTTTGAGAAAGAGAATAAAGGAGAATGTGTAGAGATCAGAATCAACTCTTGGGAAATTACAGATCTTCAGAGTTCATTTAGTTTAAGGCCAAGTATATGTTGTACTCCAGTATTTGAATTTTCTGGCTTATTTTAGCCACACAGAAAACTTACTTAAGACTTCTGAAACTAGGAACTGATTGCAGGGAATTCTGTTAAAATAACTAAACAAATTATTACTTTTTTCTTTTGTTAGCCACTGACTTTACATTGAAGGCTTTTGATTGCCCAGAAACAGAATACCCTGTTAAAATTGTGAATACTCCACAAGGTTGCCTGTGGTATAAGAAAGACAACAAGTTCAAAATCCCTAAAGGTAATGTGCTATCCTCCCTAAAAGGAGTGGAATGATTAAAACAAATCTTCCTGTGTCACTTGTTTACCTCCTTTTCCTCTTCATTTTTCCTTTGAAGACTTATGTATCAAATTCACATTGTAGTCCAGTGCTGTCACTGTAGTCCATGAAGATACTCTAGTTTCTAAGATATAAAAATTCTAGTTTAGAAAGTGGTTTTAGATATTTTCTTTCAGATGAATGAAAGCAGAACCAAGAATCTGGTCACCTTAACTAGTAGGATGCATTATTTGAACATTATTTTTAAAAAGAGATGGAATAAAAATATATGAAGAAATAGATAGATAGCATAATCAAGCATTACAAATGTAAAATCTTTCTCCATCTACCTCCCTCTGCCATTTTTGCTTTCCAGCACAAAGGAAGCATAGTGTAGAGCCAAACAGACCTTAAAAGTTCTTGTCTTTAAGAACTGTATTGCTCTTCTATTGTGTATTCTTATGCATAGCATTGAAACTTACTGAAAAAAGTTGGAGTGCTGTTGGATGCCATTTTGCCCATGTCCCATACCTCACACATAGCTACAAGTTGTGGCTCTGTGGAGGATTCTTGAGTTTGTTGAGAAGATATTTCCACAATTTTTATTTCCCTCTTGTCTCCTTTCCTCCTTTCTCCTTCCCTCCCTGGACCTCATGAGTATGAACCATGTGCTATGTCCCTAACCTGCCACAATTTTTTTTTGGAGACAGTCATTATTTAGCCCAGTCTGGCTTTGAATTTGTGTCCTCTTGTCTTGGCCTCCCAGGGTTAAGGTGTGCATCACTACACCTAATATTTTAATTTTTCTTGAATGGTTTATAAGAATTTCCAAAAATGTTACATATAGCCTCCTTAGAAAAGGGATCTGCTGGCTGTGTGTGGTGGCATATGCCTGTAATCCCAGCTACTCGAGAGGTGAAAGCAGGAGGACTGAGAGTTCAAGACAACCCTGGGCAAAGGTAGCAGTGAGACCCTGACTCAAAAATGAAGAAAAGGGCTGGGGCATGCTAAGGCCCTGAGTTCAAATCCCAGCACAACATACACACACACACATACACACAGAGTAAGAAAGTAAAAGGCTTTACTACATAGTGTTTTCTGTGAACATGGAGATTGTTCCTTTAATGTTCTTGACATGTATACCTCTGTAAATATTTTCCCCTTTAGGCACACTTTATTTGGAATGGTAAATATTACTCTTAAGAATAAAAATGTAGCCGGGTGCTGCTGGCTCACTTCTGTAATCCCAGCTTCTTGAGAAGCAGAGATCAGGAGGATACAGTTTGAAGCCAGCCCGGGAAAGCAGTTCAAGAGACCCTCTCTTGAAAAAACCCAACATAAAAAAGCACTGGTGGAGTGACTCAAGTGGTAGAGTACCTGCCTAGTAACCATGAGGCCCTGAGTTCAAACCATAGTACCGCTCAAAATAATATCATTAGAATTTAAGAACTGATAGTTTTTGTAGAGTTTAAAAAACACATGAGGTGAAAATGGATGTCTAAAATATTTAATGTATTTTTATATTTTACCTAGTCTTTTTTTTGTTTCAGCCTATATACGTTTCCATCTGATCTCACCTTTGATACAGAAGTCTGCAGCAAAGTAAGTAATTGTCCTGTTTTTTGGAGAACATACATATTTAAAATTATTGGAAAGCTGTTTTTTGTTTCAGTCTGAATCATTCCATCATTTCCTCTATCAGTACTTGAGCTGTATTGCCAATCTGTGTATTTATTCTGTACTCTGAACAATTATTTGTGTTGATACTAAACAATGTGGGGTACATAGGTTTAGGTTACCGTCTTAAAAAAAAAAAAATCCAAGAGCTGGGATGTAACTCAGTGAAGAGTACTTGGCTAGCATGCACAAGGCTCTGGGTTCTATCCCAGCAATGGAAAAAAAAAAAAAAAAGATAAAATCTGTAATGGACAGTTAAGGGAATTACCAGAGAGAGAATTGTGAGCTCACCAAACAAAGATTTCAGTGTAGACTTTGTCTTTATCAAATGAATGTAAAGGAACAAATTATAGTTAAAGTTTGAGCGGAAGAGCCTGGCATTGTCCCTCCACATCTGGTTGTTGCAGTTTCCATTCCTTTTATTGAGCCTACATTTTCATAAATTTTTCAGCAGGTAAATGGTGGATACTTTTGCTTCATGGTTAAGACAGAATTTATGCCATCTATATAGGCATTTGGCTTGTCTGTTTTCTTCTGTCTTTTTTCCATGATTGTATCTACTGCCTTGTCTTGACTTACTAGAAAAAAAACAACGAAAATAAATGTTTTGTGGTTTATTTAGAAACAGTGTAGAAAAGATTGCTGTTATTTTTAGTTAGGAAAATCAATTTTGTATAGTTTATTTCAATCTAAATGAAATGTAACTTTTCCTAAAAAAGTGGAATTGTAGCACCCTTATGTAAAACCGTCTGATAGTGTATGCTAGTCATTGGGAAAGTGCCTTAAAATTCGGTCTTCACCATAGACCAGGTGAAGGTCTATGGTGAGGACTGGTGAAATTAACCAGGAGCTAACCCTACTCTACATTGAGGACTGACCAGTCTGTTGATCCTGTGCATAAAGACTGGTAAGGAATTTAATTATACTTTGTTCTTAGCAAATTGCTCATATATTTATATAGATAGCTGTACTGTGGGAGATCAAAAAGACTAAAATTTGCTAGAATCATAGAAAGTGATAAGGAAATGTTACTGCAGTTCTTTTTCATTGCCACTTAACTGTAAAATATAATCTTAAAGTGACAATAGTACTAAAATTTATTAATATCCACTCTAAAAAATGCATTACCAACCTCCCTTCCCTCATATTTTTAAATTTGTCAGACAGCTTAAGCCTGGAGGGTACAAAATCTTGAGATCAATTGTCTCTGGTGCACTATACATACTATTATTTTCTATGTGTACATGACATGCAAAAGATTGGGAGGCAGTGCTAAAGGTAGGACTTCTGTAATACACTTGTGAAACTGAGTCCTGAGTAAGCTATATTTACCTTTGAACCAAATTAGTATACAGTTGTACATTTTGGAGTAGAGAGTTAACACCTTACTAAAAGTGAAATTTCTTACCTAAATTGAAGCAAATCTATTTATTCGTGACTTTCTTGCCAACTGATGATGTGGTTTGTGTTTTGTACTTCTCAGTGTGGTCCTCTTTGATATCTTTGTCAATATCCTTACCCATAACCTTGCGGAACCAGCTTATGAAGCTGATGTGGCACAGCTTGAGTATAAACTTGTAGCTGGAGAGCATGGTTTAGTTATTCGAGTGAAAGGATTCAACCACAAACTACCTGTAAGTACATATACTCTGTTTTCCTCATAGGGACCCTTAAAATACCATATTTACATTTCTTGCCCTATAACACCAAGCGTAGAGGCTTGTGCCTGGGGTGCTGTACATGGAAGAAGTGTTTATTAATGTAGAGTACTGATGTAGAGTATCATGAGTTTTCCTGGCTCATGCAGCTATTCTAACTTTGACTATATAACAAGATTTATAGATTTTTTTTTCCTTTCTCATCTTTTTTTAATTTTAATTTTATCATTTTTACATTTACTCACATGTGTATACATTATTTGGGCCACCTTCCCTCTCCACCCCCCTGGATATTTTATTAATTGTGAGCAATGTATATAATAAAGCCTGTGATTTAAGTTTGATCTCACTTCTCTTTGCTGTCAGTTTCTCTGTAGCCAACACTAGTATTTAGATCTAGTTTGAACTAAACGTCTTACCCCTCAGCAATAACAATAACAAATTACAAGGACCTAGCACATTGCCTGTTATAGAGTAGAACTCAAATATTTGTGCCTTTTCTTCCTCTTGCACTTTTTCCCATCATTTCAAGTGTATGTGTCTTGTTTTCTCCTCTTAAGTTTATGAGCCTTTTCGAAACAGGGTCTTATATCATGTCAGTAATCTTTTGATAAGGAATGTGTTCCAGTGTCACTTTGTCAAAAATGATAAGCAAATGAAAAAAAGATACATGAGATGCTAGCTAAGAGAGTGGAGATCATTAAATACCAGGTAAAATAATGTATTAATGTACCCAACAACAAATTGTACATCTTGGTTTCTTAGGTAAAATATATATTAGGGTTCATACAAGAAAAATTCTAGAGGAAAGAACCTAGAGGTGTCACCCTCCATCTTGGGAGAAATCCTGGAGAAGAGTGTAACTCCCCTTTATACTCTGTGCCTCTGTCTCCCTGGGAACAAAGATTTGTTTTAGGAGGAGGTACCATGGTATGTTTTGTTTGTCTCCCTTCAAGGCCTAAATATGTAGCTTAAGATCCAAACAGATTAAAGCCTAATACAGCGTTTGTCATTTGGGAAGCATGTTTTGGAATAATCTGGAAAGCTTTATAAAAATTCAAACCATAGAAAAGCATTTGATACTCCTCATTTTTGAAGCTTACTTACTCTTAATACTAAAAATGATGTACAGTACATATTTATGTGTAGAAAACAAGAGATTGAGTTTTACCTATAGACTATAGATGCAAACTTCCTAAAAATTTTGAAGTTTAAATTCATTAATATAGCAAAAAGAATAATGCACCTTAACACCGAGTACCAGGAATGCAAGGGCTAATACAGTATTAGGAAGTCGATGAACATAATTTGTAACATTAATCAAAGAAGAACTGGGCGCCAGTGGTCCATGCCTATAATCCTAGCTACATAGGAGGCAAGAGAGCAGGATTTTTTGGTTTGAAGCCAGCCCCGGGCAAATAGTTCATGAGACCCCTATCTCGAAAAACCTATCATACAAAAGGACTAGTGGAGTGGCTTAAGGTTGTAGGCCCTGAGTTCAAACCCCAGTACCACAAAAAAAAACCCCAAAAAGACACTATGTAAGTAGTGATAAATACCAAAAATTTAATAGATGACCTTTCTAATAAACAGGAATGGAGGAAAATTATTAAACACAGTAAAAACAAAGTCTTTTGGACATTTAAAAATCAGGAACAACTCAAGAATAACCCATGATCTTCTATTATCCAGCATTGTCTTAGAGGTTCTAGCTACTACAATGAAATGAAAAAATGAAATAAAAACTGCTTTTGGAAAAGGAAACTATTTTCCTTTGCAGATGATATGATTATATTTGTAGAAAACTTAACATGCTACTACAATTAAAAACGAATTTGGTATGATATGATGGGCCATGAGATCAGTGTTTGAAAACCAATTGTTTTTTTTTCCTATATTAGCATTAATCTCAGAAATGGATGGAAGTAAATACTCCACTTACATTATTGAGAAAAATAATAAATAATATAAATAATAAATAATAATAAAATGCCTAGGAATAAATAGGAAAAATATAGGACCTATCAGAAGAAAACTGTTTCTGGATAAGACAGCTTGATATAAAATTGTCTTTGCTTTCAAAATATATACATAAATATAATGTCCAACTGACTAAAGTCACATTTTGGAGTGGTGGAGATGCTGGATAAAGTTATTTTTAAGGACATTTGTAAGTAAAGAATGTTTGTGAATACCCAGTAAAATGATTTAAAAAAATATCAAGAATCATCACTCCAGCTTTGACACATGTTGAGGATTTTGGCCCCTGAAGATTCTTTGAGTCATTAGTACTTCTTTAATGTCCCCTTCAATGCCTAGTACAATTCTGAGCCTCTGGTAAAAACCAAAGAGAAAGATTTTCCCTTTCTAACAGTGCATTTCCATGCTTTGTCACTTAAAGTGCTTCTTTGTTTTCCTTTTAGCTACTATTTCAGCTCATTATTGACTACTTGGCCGAGTTCAATTCCACACCAGCTGTCTTTACAATGATAACCGAGCAGTTAAAGAAGACCTACTTTAACATCCTCATCAAGCCTGAGACTCTGGCTAAGTAGGTTGAGGGCCTAAATGTGTTTGTCTTCTTGGGGGGTAGTGTGGTGAGCAGCTGAATTAAATTGCATAACATGTCACTTCCCTGGCAACTTTTAACTATCCAGAATTCAACCAAGGTTCCAGAAGAGAGGAAGAAGGCAGATGAATAGTGTATATTCTAATACTTAAGCATTCTGCTAATAGGCAACCCCCACTTTGGCCTTCTTTCAAAGCCTGTTCTTACTTTAGTACAGGCTAATAACAGCTTAAATATAGATTCCTTTGCATGAATCAGAGAAAAGAACCCATTGAGGTACCCTCTATTAGCAGGTGGAGTCTTTGTGGGAAGGATAGAAAAGTCCCCTTTGAGCAGACAAAGCCCTTTGTCCTCATGGCTTTCAAGTCCCTTTTGACCTCCTTGCTGGGGATCTGTAAATGGTGAACAAACAATATAACCTATACACAGGCTTTGCTTTTCACAGGGTTATAATGAGCCCATAAACTAATAGAATTAGAAAGTAAGGTATAAGGGGTTAAGTGTGATCTCATGTAATAACTGATAATCTGCTCACAAGAAGTTGTATTTTGTTGGAAAGAAACATTGTATTTATTAACTTTTGATTAGCCCTGAGTATCAAATAACTCCTGAATACTCCTTTATTTATAAAGGAAATAAGTACTACCTTATTAGGGCTGGAGGTGTGACTCAAGTAGTAGAGTACCTGCCTTGTAAGTATGAAGCCCTTAGTTCAAGTCCAATACTGCAAAAACAAAAACTACTTTATTAACAGACTGCTTCTTTAAAATTCAGTAATTTTTAAATTTATTGAAGTGTGGCAGAATAATAATACATCTCCTGTTTATTGAAGATTTATGTGGCAGATTTGTTCAAATAGTTTAATATATATTTAATTCTCACCAAAACCCTATGAATGGTAGGCGTTATTTATTGTCCTTGTTTTATAAACTATGAAGAAATTGAGTTACAGATATTAAGAACTTGCCAAGATCGAATAGCTTACTGGTGAGGGGTGGGGTGCAGTTTGGGGATGTGTCTGATTGGATCCAGATCAGTTTAGTATGATTCCGGACTAGAGCCATTACCTAGACAGCCATTGCTGTCACTGCAATAACAGCTATCCATAGTAAGTGGTCTTATCCATAGTAAGTGGTCTTCAGTAATTAATAAGATGTTACTGAGGTTTCAAACCAAAATAATAATAATTTTAAATTGGTATATGACTGGATAAATTTGACTTATCTGGCAACTTACATTATTTTACCAAAGCAGGTGAGTGCATTGTTGTACTGGTAAGTATAAATCTGTTTAAAAGTTAGTGCATACAATTTGAAATGCCTTTTGATAGTTATGATGACATTGTTTCTCCATCTTAAGTTGTGATAGGAATTATCTCTCTTTAGAAACACATAATTTACAGAAACTTAACCAAGTGTTTCTTGTGACAAAATTTTGTTGTTTTTAATTTTATTTTCCACCTGCCCTTTATATAGAGATGTGCGGCTTTTAATCCTGGAATATGCCCGTTGGTCTATGATTGACAAGTACCGGGCTTTGATGGATGGCCTTTCCCTTGAGTCTCTGCTGAGTTTTGTCAAAGAGTTCAAATCCCAACTCTTTGTTGAGGGCCTAGTGCAAGGGAATGTCACAAGCACGGTGAGTGTGAGGTGCTCTGGGAGTGTGTGCTGGGCCTGAATTCGGTTGTGGACTCTGGAATTACATTAGTTCCTCCCTAAAGGGGAAGCTTTGGTTTTTGCAGGCCAGCATTATCATATACTGATTAGGAATTATATACGGATTAGGAGGGCTCCTGACTCTGATCCTGGGCAACTTTCTTTTTAGGAAGAAGACTGTTTATGACTTTGAGTGAAATAGGGTTGGCATATTTGTGCTTTTGGTTAAGTATGGTGAAGATTGTATATGGAAACCATAAATACTTTAGAGATTAGTGGGAGGAAGGATGGTAAGGGTTGTATACATAATACATACATATAGCCAGAACCTGTATGTCAAGCTTTGTCAAGCTAAGGGGAAATGAAATGATTCCACTTATATGAGATATCTAAAATAGTCAGATTCACAGAAACAAAGTAGAATGGTAGTTTCCAAGGGCTGTTGGGGATTGGTGGGGGGTAGGGAATGGGAGGAAGAAAGGATTTGTTAATGGTTATAGAATATTGGTTTTACAAGATGAAAAAATTCTGGAAAATTATTTCAATACAGTGCAATAAAGTGCACATTACTGAATGTGCACTTTAAAATGGTTATGATTATAAACTTTGTTATATGAAAATGAAGCCTAAGAGAGCCAAATAAATGAAAAAATACTTAGGAACTCGCTAATTTTATGTGCAGGTGAGGGAAAAGGGGAGTCTGTGATGCTGCTCCCATTTCTTACTAGAGCTAGTGGTTTAGTAGAGGAACAGGAACAGTGGCAGGACTGAGAGTATATGAGGTTGTTCTGATATATGCTGAGTTGGATGTATCTTGGGAACCTTGTACTAACTGACTGAAGGCTCTTCCAGGTAAGAGTGCTTATTTGGGACTAAGTTATTCTACATTTGACCGTCTTCCTCCACGGCTTCCCAATTTCTCAGGACTGACCCTTTGATGGAATATGTAAATGGTTATTCTTGGAACTATGGCTGTTATCCTTCCCTTGATTTTTGTCCTACCCACAAAAAGAACTTTCAAAGCCTCAAACTCATAGCTAGAAGAATAGAATAGCTGCCTGTGTCTCTGAGCACAGTGGGAATACCAGGCAGGGCTATGACTGACTTAGTGCTGATGATTCAGTACTGTAAATTGCCCTCAAGAGAAATCATTCCAGCGATGATCTTATCCCTGTACTTATCCTCAATTTATAGATAAGAAAACAGAAGTCTTGAGAGAGGAAGAGAATGTATTCACTTAGTTTACGTGCTATTTTATTGCTTACTCCATCCAGGGTCTGTGTCAGTGGGCCCACATTTATAAAGTATAGTCAGAGTTGTCATAGATGCCATGGCTTAGTTGGATAAGCTGACACTGCACAAGTAAGTTTGATTTGGGGGTGGGGAGAGT